CACCCCGATCCTCGCCAGTGGAACAGAACAGATCAGCTTTCGGAACAAGGAGAAACCCCAAAGCCGACAAGTTTGGCTATGCAGTGTCTGATCTGTGGGAAGCAGCAAGTAAACTCTGACACATGCTGCCCGGACGAATTTCTAGTGGTTGAGTGTCCCCTTGCTGCTTCTACATTGCTGTAAACCGCCGGACGAATTCCGGGCTTATCTGGTGGCTCGGACAAAGTCTGGCGTGTTGGCGGACCTTCGCTCTGTGTGGATGGATGTATCCTGGCTTCGGTGGCAAGCGGCGTAACCCTGAAGAATTCTGTCCTTCTGGTGGCTCCGGACCTTTGCTGCACGATTCAAGTGCCAAGCATGTCAGGGTGGTACCCTGGCGCCTGCTCCTGGGTCCAATAGCTTTGTTGTATCAGGCAGTGTCGCGCTTGAAGGCCTTGCAGGGGCCGCCCGGCCCTGTACTCCTTCGGCTTTCGAATTCGTTCATTTGAACAAGTAGCAAGTGCTCCAGCCGGGTGGCTGCTCGCGCGTCGGGAGCGGCCTCTGCATGTCCTCTCATTCAGAAGCTAAGCGCCGGAATGCACCTGACGTCGAACCAGCTAAGGGGTGAGAACAAAGGCGACCCGCTGGGCCTGACACCCTCACAGGCGCCCGGGATTCACATGGGTACCTCTTACATGTACCTATCTATTTATCTATCTATCTATCTATCTATCTCTCTCTCTCTCTCTCTATATATATATTGTTTTTTATCTATATATATATATATATACATATTTATATTTATTTTTTGTATGATGTATATGTATTCATGGTACCTCACTAAGCTACCAGCTGAGATTGTTGGATCACGCTAGGGCTAGGGTCTGACCCAAGTAACCTTGAGGACTCAGCTCTTCCGGCGTAGTCTTTACTTGTAAGTTGATGACCACTTTAACGTTGTGCTGAGCCGACCGTGCATCCAAGTTTGTTTAGGCCTGGGGATCTGCGCAGCTTCAACTCCAAAGAATTTTTACTATAGGGGCTTTAACATTTGCCTATACTATTTTGGGGCTTCTTTATAACAACAAGCATAGTATGATGGGCCACCAAACCCTATTCTAATCACTGGGCCCCTATATTACTCCCTTGACACACTGCCGAAAGAGTTTTTGAGCTACCCGACACAAACAGCGAGACTTCGGCAGGCTCGGATGCAAATAGGCTTTAGGATTGCGGAGCCTCTAAGGCGTTTCAATCGAACCAGTGTAAGTAGAAACGGCTTGACCCAGAGAAGCCCGTGAGAGGTCCGGCACATGGGTCTGTACATCCCTGGCAGGGGCATCTGAGAGAGAGTTCTGCATACGGCGTGGCGTTGAATGAAGCAACGCACTGTAAAGCTGGTTGCGAAAGTCTAGTGCCGTCATTTCCGAATTTTGGCTATACGAAATGCACCACAAGTCGTCACGGAAACATCTCCGAATCTTGACAAATGCAGCAGATTGCAGGTAAACCTCCTTGCGGCTCAGGGCGAATATTCGGTGAGGCCTGGCCCTGTTTTGTCCGGCTTTCATCATCCCGGATGCTAAGCACAAGGTTTGAACTTCTGGCTCGATTTCTATGGTGGTGATCTCCAGGTGGTGTGATGTTTGCTAGTTGAGTTTGCATGGTCTTGGCCTTGCACGGCTTATCTAAACACAGAATGCAACCGCGCAAACCATTGCATCCCTAAAGCCTAGACCTTGCAGGTAGAGAACAGCTCTCGGTGTGCCCGCTGCGCCAATCGCATTCATTGCAACCCACGTAACAGGCGTCCCAAAGTATCTGTGTACTCGAAGTAGCCTGAAATGAAGTGGCACTCGCAGTGCACTCGCCTTGCAGGGACGAGCCTGTATAACTCCAATCCCGAGTTGACATTGACAGTCTTGTGCCCATGTGTACACATAGAAGTGCAGGTGCCCGACACAACAGACAGATCCTTATACCAGAGAGTTATACACGTATGCAGGCATGCTTGCATGTCGTCAGCACGCATTTTTTGACCGCACAGAGACCCACACACGCACGCACAGACACACACACACACACACGCACACACACACACACACACACACACACCAACACACACACACACACACACACACACACACCACACACACACACACGTAAACGAATGCGAAAGCAGATACAGCGAGACAGACAGACATACGGACAGACGGAGCAACTGACAAGCCGACTGACAGGCACGCAATGGCACGCACGGCGAAAACATGTTTTACTTTGTTTGTGCCATTTTCTGTAGATACTGTAGTTAGTAGTGACGCTGGCACTGTCACCGTGGATGAAGGCATCGAAGGCCTGAGGCGAGTAATCAGTGAGTTGCGCGTAGCTGATTGCATTTGTTGTGCATCCTTCTCTTGTAAACCTGTGATCTCAGCACCTGCCAGAAAGGATCATGCTAGGCTGTATCATGACATGCTATGTGATGTCATATGTTATGTTTTATCAGACTATGTGACACTATATTATATCATGTTTTACCGTATCAGATTTTCATTTATGATTCAGTCGTTCTTCGCCGTACATAGGCAGAACTACCAGACGATCGAAGACTTCTTGAGCTGCTGAGGGTGCCATGGGGCATCTGAGGAGCGCTTCTGTCTTATAGGTGGTCCCATGGAGCATTCACACGGAGCGCGGGGCTTGGGCAAGTATAAGGCAGTGTGATACCCTAATGGTGTCAAGGTCGACTGAGGCTTTCGCAGGGACATGAACTGATGCGCTATGCCGGTGCAGTATGCAACCGGAACTGAAGAGCCGCAAGTCCTAACGACAGCAACTTCGACAGAAATCATGAGATTCCGGGCCTTGTATAATGAGTCATGTCATCTCCAGCCATGCTACTTCACGACCAATATCCGAATTGTGAGCCATGTTCTGCACGATTTTGGTACCCCCTCACTTAACATAAGGTTGCTTCATGGTCAGTGTCTGGTTTGTTGGATTGCTTACATGCGACATACAACAAAGAAGAAAGATGGTTCTGCAGACGCCGAGGTAGTGCTGCAATGAGTAGCATGATCTTCATACATCCAGTAGTAGTAAGACGTCTAGCAGAAGGCGGCAGTGGTTTGCCGTGAGCAGAATCTCCTGGGTCGGGCTGACACTTGAGCCCCACTTCTCGATTAGACTTTGATGTCATGATTGAGTCTTTTTCTGAGCCCTCTAAACCTTCCAGACTTTGTCTCGGACCCTAAACCCTAAACCCTAGACCTTGACATCAGGAAAAGGGCCCTCAAAAAAAAAGAGACCTTGACATCATGTTGAGGAGGCTGCGGCGGCTGACTGCTGACCCGCCAAGATCTGATTTAACGCCGGTAGACCAAAATTGGGTCCTGGCCTTGTTTTCAAAGACTCCAGTAGAAGGAGCTTGCAGCTGCCACTAGCCTAGGGCCTGGAAAGACGGCGTCCTCCAAGCAGTGTCTGTCTCGAAGCGATGTACAACGAGTCCTGCCTTACCGTTCCGGGACGTAAAGGTCCTATGAGCACTGAGAACTCCCTGAATTTCAGGGCTATTGCTTGTTTCAGTCAGAAGCCTTCAACAGAGTAGAAAGGCCGGCCCAGTCATGACACTGTGAGCTCCACCCCTCTTGCTCTTGAAGTTTGTACAGGCCTTTGCCATTGACGCTTGGGGTATACGATTTAGCAAGTCGGGATTATGATCAGACAGTGAACAATAAATAGCACATGGGGGCATACATAGCCTGAGGCTTGAGATTTGAACCCTGGTTGGACCGCAGGTCCAAGCAGTAAGGCGAGAAGCCTGGACATCGGAATCCACGGTTTCTGGACGCCCCCAGTAGAACAACTGGACACCTACATCGGGCAACAGTCGGTTCCCTGCTACATCGCCAGCTCATAGAGTGAATCCAGCTCGTGTCTCAGTTATCCCAACAATTTTCTTCGCAGGGAAATCGTGGCAGACGCGACATTCATGAAAGTAGTACGGAGTTAGGGCTGCGAAAAGACAGTTTGGAATCGGAAGAGTTGCATCCTCCAGCACAGGACTGTCTGTTTCTGATCGGTGTTGTATACTTGTATTGGCCAGGACAATGGCAAAGGGTGATCCGCACCGCGCAGGTCTGACGGTCTATCTGACAGGCACATGATGTACCGTCCTACTTCCAGATCTGGCCATCGGCGTCTACTGTCAGTAGCCCGATGCATGCACTGCACCATGAGCGATGTGTTTCGAAAAGTCCGCGGCAAGCTCATAAGGCTTCAGGCGGAGTATGCTCCGGAGAGTGACTGTTTTCATCAGTACATGTCAGCAGCATTGAAGATTTTCTGCCATGTTGTGCTGCCTGCTTGTTGCAGTAGTGACACTACGCTGCTGTCACAGAATGGCTTGAACATCTCGTCCCAGTGCAGGTCCCGCCCGGGTGGTGGGTGTGTCCGTGTGTATGCACATTCACATAAATAAGTAGCTAGGGACATATATGCTATGTAGCTATAGGGACATATATACTATATATATATATATATATGTATTCTTTATTTAATCCTCTGATATATATATATATATATATACATATACATATATATATATATATACATATATATATATATATACACATGCACACATCAATACAAAAGCGACATGTATGTGTATGTGTACATATATGTGTGTATCTGTATATATACATATAGTTATATACATGCATTTCGATTGTAGTAGGCTGCTGCATATATTACCATAAGTTGGCGCCAACACGGGCTTTTCGCGACGGCATGCCATCTGACACGTTTAACAACACTCCCACGTGAGAGCAACCAAAGCTGGCGACCACGCTAGACCGAGCCTTGTTGAAGTGCAGAACCATCGGTTAGCTTCAGTTGCATTAAGCCGTCGACGGAGGCTCTCAACCCAAACGCTGAAGCCTTCACTCGCATGCCGGCGATGGCCCCGCTGTCAAAGAGTTGCTTTGAATGCAAGATCCTCGGCGCAAAGTCCTTCCGGGCAGGACTTCCTGCAGCTTTGGCGCGGTATGGCCAGCAACTACCAGGTGCCCTGCTGTCTGGCTGGGAAGATCGGAGTCGAAAGGGGCCACGGAGTTTCAGCAGCACAGCCGTCGAACAAGTTTGTTGCTGTTCCTCCGAATAGTCTCTTCGAGTTCTCTGTGTTCGAGCTTTGCTTTGGTCCGATGGTGGAGAGTTTACAGTAAAGATCCAGATTTGAGGTTGTAGCTGCACGTAGATGCTACAGGATTTTACTTCTAGCCCGAGTATTCGCGCGTCAGGCTGCAGCAGTTTCTGAATATTTCGACGGTGCGCAGCCACCGCCACCACCACCCACCAACACCACCATCACGGCCACCGATGCCGCTATGACCAGTACCCGCTGCTCAGACGATCCGTGGATGTTGGGGAGGCAGTGAGCGAGAAATTACCTCTACTTCTCCCCTGAAGGTTACAGGGTTCTTGGGTTTAGGGTTTTAGGGTTTAGGGTTTTGCCCACAGCTTTCTGCTTCCTCAACCCCCAACCCTAAAAGACCCACATATTCTAACGATGATCCCAGAACACTGAACCCGGAGCCCAAAGACTTGAAGTCCTGGAGCCCCTAAACTGGCCCTAAACCCTAAATCCGGGCGCGAAACTCTAAACCCCCAAAAAAACCCGAAACACTAAACCCCACAAAAACTTTCACGCTAAACCCAAAAAAAACCAGAAACTCTAAACCCCTAAACCCAAATCCCACAGCCGGAAGCCTTCGCCGTCGTTTCAGGTGCGATCCCTGGCAGGTGCAGCGGGAGGCTCCGCCTTTCTGGAGGTTCCTTTGATGGGATTAGTTTAGGGTTTAGTTAAAGGGGTTTGGACAATTATTGATAAGTATCCATATTATTCTGTTGGCTACCTTCATCCTTAATATGTACCGCAATCAACTAGAAGACAATTGGCCCGAAAGCATCATTAGCGAAGAGTTTTGCGCTACGTTATAGAGTCCAGTGCATAGAACCATAGAGTCATAGAGTGAAGTGCATCTAATTCTGAAGTACATGGTAATGCCGAGATCGATGTATTTGAAATCCCGTTAGCTTGTGTCGGGACAAGGCTTTTTTGGTTCCAGGGGTATTGGGTTTAGCACTGCGGTCAGGGCTTCTGGTTTGAAAGGGTTCTGGGTTTAGTGCTTCTGGGTTTCAAAGTTTCAGGGTTCAGGGCTTCTGGGTTTGGGGGTTTTTGGTTCCAGCGGTTCTGGGATTAGCTCTGCGGTTTAGGGCTTCTGGTTTCAAAGGGTTCTGGGTTTAGTGCTTCTGGGTTTCAAAGTTTCTGAGTGCAGGGCTTCTGGGTTTAGGGGTTTTTGGTTCCAGGGGTTCTGGGTCTAGCGCTGCGGCTTAGGGCTTCTGGTTTCAAAGGGTTCTGGGTTTGGTGCTTCTGGGTTTGAAACTACTACTGCTACTACTACTACTACTACTACTACTACTACTACTACTACTACTACTACTACTACTGTTACTGTTATGACTATACTATAATACTACTCTTACTATTAGTACTATTATTATTACTATTACTACTATTACTACTATTACTACTATTATTACTATTACTACTATTACTACTTATATTACTATTACTACTACTACTGTTACTATTATGACTATACTATAATACTACTTTTATTATTATTACTATTACTACTATTACTACTAATACTACTATTATTACTATTACTATTACACTATTACTACTTATATGACTATTACTACTATTACTACTATATATTACTAATACTACTAATACCACTATTATTACCACTATTAAATACTATTATTGCTACTACACCTTCATGCGCAGCAAAAGTGTTAACTTTACCTCGCGTTCGAACACTCGACCACGCCAATCTCTGTGAAGGGTTGCAAATTTCACCTCCTTTACCTCGCGTTCGTGCGTTCGACCACGCCAATCCCTGTGAAGGGTTGCAAAATTCATCTCAATGCACATCAAAAGTAGCAACTTTACCTCACGTTCGTGCATTCGACCATGCCAATCCTTGTGAAGCGTTGCAAAGTGCCAATCCCTACATGTGAAGGGTTGCAAATTGCACTTCAATGCACTTTAAAGCGCTTCAAAGTAGCAACTTTACCTCGCGTTCCCGCACTCGATCACACCAATCCCTGTGAAGGGTTGCATGTTCGTGCACTCGACCACGCCAATCCCTGTGAAGGGTTGCAAGTTGTGCCTCGAAGCGCATCAAAAATGTGTAACTTTACCTAGCGTTTCGCTCTGCAAAGGGTTGCGCGTCGACCTCAACATGTGTAACTTTACCTAGCGTTTGGGCGCTCGACCAGGCCAATCCCTGTGAAGGGTTGCGCGGGGCGCTTAAAATGTGTAACTTTACCTGGCGTTTGGGCGCTCGACCAGGCCAATCCCTGTGAAGGGTTGCGCGGGGCGCCTAAAATGTGTAACTTCACCTAGCGTTTGGGCGCTCGACCAGGCCAATCCCTGTGAAGGGTTGCGCGGGGCGCCTAAAATGTGTAACTTCACCTAGCGTTTGGGCGCTCGACCAGGCCGATCCCTGTGAAGGGTTGCGCGCGGCGCCTAGTAACTTTAAAAATGTGTAACTTTACCTGGCGTTTGGGCGCTCAACCAGGCCAATCCCTGTGAAGGGTTGCATTCCCGATCGATGACGACGGTGCCACCCTGGCTATAGAAAGAGAGATTATATATCGAGATGTAGATAAGTCGGATAGAGTCAGAAGCACAGAGTCATAGAGTCACAAAGTCATAGTGTCATAGAGTCATAGCGTCAAGTGCATAGAGTTATAGAGTCAAGTGCATTGTCATAGAGTCATAGAGTCAAGTACATAGAGTCATAGCATAGAGTCATAGAGTCAAATGCATAGAGTCAAGTACATAGAGTCATAGCATAGAGTCATAGAGTCAAATGCATAGAGTCAAGTACATAGAGTCATAGCATAGAGTCATAGAGTCAAATGCATAGAGTCAAGTACATAGAGTCATAGCATACAGTGCATAGAGTTAGAGTCCTGGTAAATCATCTATGTACTCGACTCTCTGGCCTTCACTCGATGCATGTCATCTATGTACTCGATTCTATGTCTTTCATCTATGTACTTCTCTCGAGGGCTCCGCACGGAAGAACCCTTCGCGATGCTTTCGGGAATTAATAAACCCCACAACCTTTTTCTGATTGTCTGCTAGAGCCCCTAGATTTTTTTGCAGGGAGTGTTCTTCTTCTAGGCACCTGCAGGGCTTCAGGGGTCCGGGTTCGGCAAGACGGAATGTGCCATCTTGAAGGCAATTCTTGGAGGACGGTTCAGGCTGGGCTGGAGATACGTCTGCATGGCAAGGCGAACATTTTCTGTTGTTTGTCCATGGACCTGCCGATGCGCGCCTTGCTTAAGCTCTCAATGGCCTCCATGTTAGGGTTCCTTAATCAAGTGCGAAAAGAAGTTTCATCCGCGAGACTAGGGAAGGGGCTGCTTACCAGCGGCTCGGGTCGAAAAAAACTTTGAACATTCACATCTCATCAGTGGATGCTTTGCTGATTTTTTCGAAAACAGAGGACCAAGTCCGTACCACCCACATAAGCAACTTCCGAGCCCTCACAGAACTATCGCGCCGGAGGCCTTGGGCTGGAAACACTGTCTGAAGATTTTTGCCCCAAAACACGAAAATCCACTTCCAGAAACGACCTATCAAATATCACACAACAAGAGGCTCCTATCCCTAAACCCTGGAAAGAACCCCAAAACGGCCGGCACTGGTAACTTCGTGCTGCTACTGCGAACGAGGACCATGCCGCGCATCGGCTCTTTGCTGCGAAGCAGGCAGGCAGTCGTTGGTAAGACTGACTGAAGTGGCATCGCGGGAGGGTACAGGGTGCAGCGTCTCACTTGGAAGTGTTCAGAGTGCCGCTTGAAGCTACGGGGTTTGCTCGGCTTTGTGTTTCGATGGAGGCTGGTCTGGGCAAGGAATGCCAGCATCGCAAATCTCAAAGCAATCCGAAGCATTCCCGTTTGTCCGACTGCTGGCAGCCAGCAGCTGTGTTCAAATTAGTTATTGTGAAGTTCGTTCATCCTGTACTGACGAAAATACACCTGCAGTCAGTCAAGCAAGCACAAGAATCAAGTCATCATGAAGGCAGAAGCTGCTTGAAGTGTACTTTTCAGGTTTCGAGGATACATCATGTACAAATAGGCTGTAGTGGTTTCACGATGCAACTTGAGAGGCTGTTTCGCCGCCTTCCACCGAATCCTACGGAGATCTCGATGGTTTAGCTTAGCTCCGCCAAACTGAAGCCTTCTTTGCGTGACCTCGGGTCAATCCTCACATGTGGTTTCGCTTTGGCCACGTAATTAAGCTCAGGTCGTAGTAGGGTTGTTCACGTCTTGTAGTGGAGGCTGGTTCTTTCAGGAAGTGGGCTCAGTGTCGTGATGGTGTTGCAGGCCCAGGATCCGCACAGAGTCCTCTCATATCGGGGCGTTAATGATTACCTATACTATTTTGGGAGGTTCCTTACTGTAATTACAGTAGATAGGCTCCAAAACTCCGTTCGCGTTATTTAGCCCTTGCAAGCTGTTCGATGTCCTGGGGAGAGGCGATTCTCCTCAACCCGAACAGGCTACCAGACAGGAACAACCGCTTCGACATAGAGCTGTAGTCTCCTTAGGAAATATTTTGATTTTTGTTCATTCAAAACCCAAGAGAATTTTCAAAGTATTGTTGCTATTATTTCCTAAGGGGGGCATAGGGAAGAGCAAAGACGTTCGCCAGGTCCTAGAGCAGCTTGATGCGGTCATCGTGGTCGGGAATGGCTTGGTCACAAGTCTCCTGCCAGCATCCCGCAAAGGACTTTAATAGGATTCTGCCCTACTTGTACCGCAGTTCTTTGGAGTTGTGGCTGCGACTCTAGGGCTATGACAACAGATCGCTTTGGTGATGGATGGTGGTCATGTGTTGACGGTGGTCGTCAGAGTACATGTGTTTCCAGTCTGTAAGCGTTCTAGTGACCATCGTCATTGTTGATATCCCGTATGCATCAGACAAATGACACACACATGTATATATATATATATACATAAACTTGAGCATGGTGACCATGGTTTGATGCTGGTGATGACCAACATGCCAAAATGAGTGTCATCCCATTCACGTTCGCCAGCAAGATCAGCAGCATCCCTCCCGACACCAACAACGCACGGCCCGCCACCCTCAGCATGATTTCGAGCTGGTGGTGAGGCTGCTGATGACAATGATGATGCCATTGATGCTGCTCACCATGAAGAAGATGATGATCACCGTCATCACGATCACCTCCATTATCACCATTGTCCTCACCAGCACGGTAATACGATTCCGATGACGACAACACTTCCTGCTACGAGCACTGAAGCCAGAGCAGTGCTGCTGTGTTAAATTTCCTTGTGCCAGGCAGCCAGATGAAATTGGTTGCTGAGTCCCTTGGAAAGACGTTTAATTTGCATCCCAGTTGTGTTGTTTGGAGATTGTGCAGGACAAGCCTACGCTGAGTTTGTTTTGGACAGCTCGTACATGTGCTCGATTTCCAAAAGCCCTGCTGCAGTATGAGCTTGTCGCTACGAGATTTGCCTCGCACCAGCGACTGTCTCTTTCTGCCCGTTTGTATATTCACGAGCGACAATCGAGAAGTGAGCTCGCATGCAACAAGTTATCATCCCAGCAGCCGGTCTCATGCCCCATAGTGTAAGCCTATAACAGAGGGGCCTCAATGATTACCTATACTGTTTTGTGGGTTCCTTATTGTAATTACAGTAGAATGCCCCCCAACACCCTATTCTAATTATTAAGGCCCCTGTATTATGTGCCATTTACCCCGGTACCTCTTGCTTGGCCTTAGCAGAGATCCGAGCACCCAGGCTAGCCCTCGAAGGCAAGTTGAGGGCAAGAGCTGATTGTTTTTCGCCTTAGCTTAAGGGTTCAGGGTTTAGGGGTTTCAGAAAAAAGGGACTTGACCACAATCACTTAGTGAGTTAGCAAGTATTCGTCCTGGCGGAGTCGCAGCAGGCCAGTTGCAGAAGGGCTTAGGGACTTAACAGTCATCAGCCCAGATCTTGAAAACCTTAGCCTTGTCACAACAAGGGCCGAAGCCAGAAACTCCTTCGAGTGCAGAAGCTTATGGGTGAATCCTCCACGAGGCTGGTCGGCGCCCCCGAAGCGGACATCCCTGCAGAATTGGAAGCGCACATGACAGGTTGGCGGGACGGGGCTTCAGGGTTTCATCGGGTTTCCATGTGAGTGTGTTTCGGTCTATGCAAGAGTCTGCAAGAGTTCGCCCTTGCGGGCCTAAGCGACTCCTACATGCTCCTAAACCCTAAGCTCTTGCCTGCATCTACCAGTAGTATTTTTCGTCGACCACATCCCTGAGCTCCGAATCCTTAAGGCCCCTACATTATGGGTGCTGGCTTCTGATCATATCTGGAGCCGTTGGGCTTCCTCGGGCCTGCAGTTTTTTCGGCTTGCGCCCGAACTCGACAGCCGAGCCTTCAAGAGAACCTCTTCCAACTTAGAGCTGGGATTCTTTGAGGCTCAGCGGCTGGACCTGGATCGATCCCGTTTGCACCTGGGCGTGCTTGAGCCTGGCGAGGGTCTGGGGCGCTTGCCAGCGTCATTTCTGTCCAAGTTTCGATCGCCGAAGCCACGTGCAAGGAACCTGCCTGTATCTTTTCTGGATGTCCCAAGTCCTATAAACCCTGTATCTGAGAAGCCTCACACATGCCTAGTTGCACGCACATGCATACGTACAAAAAAAAATCATGCGTTTAACCTCAACGCAGCCCCCCCCTTCTTTTCTCCTCGCAGACGAGGCCGCCTTCGAGCATCCTTGGGAAGAGGGAGAGCTCCAGGATCTGATGCGAACAAACGCGGCAGCTCCTCGTCCAGCCCGGGGTCTGGATGCTAGGACTTCAGGATTTTCCGTTCAATTCGATGGAGTTCAGGGCTTTGGAGTTTGGGTTCAGGGTTTTGAATTTTGGGTTTGATGCACCGCAGCCCCTGCTCAGAAAAGATGTGGCTGTGGCGTTCAGGATCCCTGCCTGGACTGTCCTTCTCCCTTCCTGAACCTGCTTTGCGGTCGGGAAGATCCTGAAGGTAATTGCTGAAGGTTTTGGAATGCCTCTAGTTGCTTAATTAAGCGTGTTCTGATTCGGTGCCAAGAATGTGATTTCTGGCCCTCAAAGTTCCTCTGCACCTCCGAACCCGTACGGGACAGTTGATGTCAAAAGGTTGGTGCAACCAGTTTGGTTTGGGAGTTGTTGCTGCTTGTTCCGAGCCACAAAGTGCAAAGTGCCTACCAATACGGACTCCACGCGACCCATGCCACCGAAATCCAGGAGCTGTTCAACCGCTTTTTCTTTTTGCAGCGATGGGCAGAATTTAGCCCGAAGCCTTCAACCAAGCTTGCGAGGATCGGCTATTGGTTGAGACGCTTGGCAGCTCCAGAAGGATTCTATGGGAGCCATGGAAAGTCTCTGGGTCTTTCCCGTGCAAGGCAGCAACGCCTATGACTGTGCACTTGGATGTATACGCGGTGTGGAATTCGTCATCGCCCGTCCCCCAACTCCCTTTTCTTCCAAGGTTCGATAAGGTATGCGTCCAATAATGAAGACACGTGCCACACGCTTGTCGCGGTGTGTTTGACGCACTGCGTAGGCGTAGTCTGGTGCATGAGTCACGCTCACCCCAGCCTGGTATAGTATACTCGGCGAACTGAATATTCGGTCCCGCCACACATTAAGGCTTACTATAGCTTTTTATAGCTTACTGTAGCTTTTTGTAGCTTAATTATTATCGCTTATTATATTCGATTATAGCTGAACTATTAGAGCTTATAATATAGCCTAATTATTATAGCTTTTGATAGCTAGCTATAGCTTACTATATATAGCTTATTTTAGCTTTTAATTATTATGGCTTAGTATAACTTAATTGTTATAGAGCTTATTCTAGCTGAGCTTACTTGGAGGGTCTTAACTGGGGTTATGCTACTTATAAGTCTACTTACTAAGTCTCCCGACCCTCCAAGTACTGTAGCTAAGTATAGCTCAATTGTTATGGCTTATTATAGCTTAAATAGTATAGAACTTCTTATAGCTTAGCTTACTGTAACTATAGCTTATTCAGCGCAGCTTGTTTTGCACCGGCTAGCGGCTCCCGGACCCTTCCCGGGAGATCAGACCCAGGCCCTAACTGCTTGGAGCAGACCACGCTCGTCAAGTGCAGAATATAGGGGTCTATCTATCTATGATATCTATGTATATATATATATATATATATGTATATATATTATATCTATATATGATATATGATATATATATATATATATATATATGATATGTATTTATACATAGATATTATCATAATTACCCATCCTACTCCAATTATAGTATAATGGGCCCCAAAACCCTATTCTAATAATTATGGCCCCTGCATGAAACGACGCTTCCCGACGTGACGCTTGTCATCCTGAAGTCCTGGGAATGTGGCGTCGTCTTAGTCTGTTGCGGTCTGGTCCATCTTTGGGAGTGGCCACACGGGAGTTTCCGAAAATTAGGGGTACCTTGGGGTTCCTTTAAACGGTTACGATTAAGGGTTCCTTTGACGGGTCTTATAAGGGTTTGGAGTTTCCGAAAATTTAGGGGTGCCTTACTTGGGGTCCTTGTACTGTCTAGGGTACTATATTAGGGTCTCCTGAACCCTGGAGACTCGACTGCACCCTTCAAAAGAAGCTCAGGCATGCGATGAGACTGCAGACCCTGGACTCAGACTTCTTCTTTGCGCATGCCGGAGAAAAAGGCTGGTGGCCTGCTTGACTTTGTCCTGTTCCGCTTGTGTCGATGGATTGAAGCACTTCTTTGTCCAGCTGATGGCCTACTACTTCGCTGACGCGAGGCTAGCGGACGCGAGGCTAGCGGCTAGCATTGCTGTCCTGTTGTCCCAGTTCAGTCCCAGGGTCGTGATCGTGAGCGATGCTTCTGCAGTGCTTCGCGGTGCAATTCTTGACGCCTCCCTCGAAAGCCTTGGGGCTACGCGCATTCGCGCTTGTAGCGCATACGCCATGTCGCAATTCGACGGCATGAGGGTGTGCCCTAGGAAAGCTGCTCTTTGCGATGCACGTTCCTTCTGTGACAAAGACGACACTCTTCGAGGCTATAATTTGTTTTCGGGTACTGTACACTCCTGCACGACTAGTTGTAAGGCAATGTTAGGGCAGCTTGTGCAACCGCTTATATGGCTTCTTGGACAAGTCCTTGCGCATCCAGCGGCGAATGCATCATTGCCCAAACAGTAGCACAACAGAAGCTGTGCTAAGACACCCACCTAGGCAGGTGCACTGCACCCCCTGCCGAAATAATGACCTCAGAAGCTCTTTTTCTTCGTCTTATTAGGTTTTTAGTTACCAGTATCCTCACGGTGCCGCTGTGGCAAGACCACAGTCGCGAAAAAAGTTTTTGACATCTCTCTGGTTTAGAGCTGTGCGCAGCTCTACTTTGCATGAGAAATTCACTACCCTGACTGCATGGCCACATAACAAAGTTACACACATATACACAGCTGACTGCCGCGAAAGTCTCTCAGGACCAAGTGTGCAGCTTGAAGCCACTGTGCAGGGCAGCTATATACCTCTACGCCTGCAGCCCCCTCCAGAACCTCAAGCTCTAGCGCCCCGACACCTGAAAGACGTTAAGACCATCGCTGCCAACCCACCACTTACCAGACTGGATGCTTCGGCTCACCTCATCCCAAGCTCTATTTCCGTGATTCCCCAAAGCCGGAGCTTGCGGCATGCGCAAAGCTTGGAAAGAGCTCCTGCCGGACAAGAGCTGCTGGGCGGCAAGGGAAAAAGACAGTTTGTTGTTGGGCGCTTCCGGGAGTTCGGGTCGAGGTTCATTTCGCTTTCCTGTGTTCTTGGGCTTCAGATTGGGGCTCAGGGTGTTAGTTTACTTGGAGGTTCAGGGCAACAGGGTCTACTGCATGTCAGGTTTGGCTTGCAACTGACGGCTTCTGGAGGGGTGATCTCATGTGGCCTTCGAGAATTTCTTCTAGATCATCCTCGTCTGATGTACAGCACTATTCGGATTTCGTCTTTTGGACCTGCACTGATCCCCCCAAGCCCATGGCCCAGAGGATGGAGGGAGTTTGGGCTGTGCAGGGCATGTCCCGCCTTGTGCCGGAGCCACGGTTTAGGGTTTAGGGTTTAGGGCTTTCACTGACTGACAGACTTGGGGATTCTCCCCCAAGACTGGTGCATTGCACTTGCTCTCCCCGGATTTTTGATTCAGTCGGTGTGTCCGTGTCCCTAGGTCGCCAATGCGATAACTTTAAACTTTCTGGCCTTACATAATTAGGTGGTACATCCAAGAATGTTTGAAGTTTTTGGGGCCAGGCATTGAAGAAGAGAGTTGTCTGAAGTCTGAAGATCGGTGGTTGCCCGGGGTGCCAACCCTCAACAAGCTGCAAGGCATTGAGGCCACCAGTCCAAAGTCCAAATCCAACCCGCACGCACCAAAGCCGAGAGCTTGAGTTTGTGTAGCGCTGAATTGTACTCTACAGTAGCTGGTAGCTTTCGGGCTGACCTTCAGTTTGAAGCTTTGAGAGTTCAGGTTGCACTCCGATTCCATGCAAAGCACACACAGGCCTGGACACAAAGAGCTGAGTGCGAAGCCCTCCGCGCGCAGCTGATTCTGAGGTCTTTTCCCCAATGCTGGCGTGGTGGAAGACATACTTTCGCAGCTTGAACTCGTTCTGTCAGGTGCAAGGGATTACTCATTCATCTTGTAAACAACATCGATGAGCATAAGCATTTCTATACGGAATACTCAGGGAAATCAAGCGCTCGACAGAAAAGCCCGTCATACTGTATCCCATGCCCTGAGAATAGACGTGACGATGGCAATTGAAGCGCAGGGAGGCAAACTCTGTCGTTGTGGTTGATACTAAGCCCGAGTAGGACACGCATCAGGAGCACGGAAGGCTTCGAAGCAGTTCTGGTTCGTCTTTGGCTTCAGGTACTCGGCAGGGGGTCAGTCAGCTTTCCGTCTGAAACCAGACCTGGCACGGGACCCTGAACCTGTAAGGCCCTTCCTTGCCCAGCATGACACATGTTTTAGGGGCGTCAGCAGCTACATGCTCAGTAAGGCTCCCGAGCCTCGAGGTGCAAGCTTCATATGTGTCTATAGGCTGGCGCGGGCAAGTCTTAGAAAAATCCGGCCCAAGTGCTTGCAGTTGGAGTCATAGCTGGTTCCATGCCCGAAGCTCCGACCCTCAAAGAAGACCAACGACACCGACGAATCCCCAGAGCCGCAAGGAATACAGCCAAGATACCACCCAACTTCGAGCCTGCAGACCTCAAATACCGCGACTTTGAGGGCTTGACGAAGGACCCCACGAATTGCTGAAAATTTCTTCTTTACTATGCCTGGTCGTGGACACATGTGCTGCCACAGCTGCTGTTGCTCCTTCTCCTGCTGCTGCTGCCAACCCCAAACCATAGTTACAAAATATTACAGACCACCACCGCCGCCACTGTCACCACTGCCACCACCATCACCTTCACCACCCGCAACACCGCGACTACGACTGCTGCTTCTGCTGCTGCACTTGTCGGCGACGACGACAACTGCTACTAATTTCTACTGCCATCAACTTCTACTTCTGCTTCTTCTTGTTCGACTGCAACCGCACTGCTGCTCGAGCAGTTCAGGGTGCACTGCGTGTGGGCATTGGTGCATGTGTCGGGACTTGTACCTCGGTAACTCAAAGAATTTTGGCAACAGTGACATCCGTGTCGCTGCCTCATGGTGTTGTTGACGGGATGGCTCGCCCGACCCCGAAACGGCCAACCCCCTGTTGTCAGCACCACAACTTGACAGTTGGACCATGGATCCTGGACCCCAACCCCAAACCCAAAAAGTACTCATTCGCAGCGTTCGCATCGTTTCCAGGAGCCAGTTCCTGAAGATTTTATGAAGAAGCATGGCATCGAGACTGCCAGCGACTGGGCAAGTTCGTCTGAGCTGGAAGGTTTCAGATTGGGGGTGTCAGCTTACTGCGTTGAGCACTTCGGTCATAGCACACCACACCTCTTGCAATGTGTGGTTGCGTTTCTGTGCCGGCAGTCGCACGGACGGACTTGACGGCGCTTAAGACCCTGGACTTTGCAGAAGTCCAGGTGGTTAATGGATGCTAGTTTTATTCTTGTAGTCGACGTGTGGGTTCATATTTAGTCCTGTTGCTCTTGCCCCTCATGCTTTATTCATGGGTCACTGGCTTCCCTGTCTTTTTTGGGTTTGAGCCTTTTCCAAATGAGCAATTTTATCGGATCTTGTAGTGTAGTGCCTCAGAGAGGTTCCCGCTGAACCCACACCTCTTAGGCTGGGGTTACAGATCGGGGCAGGTCTCAGACCATCCCACCTTCTCTTAAGGGTACTTAGAGATATTTTTTATTTTGTGGTTATTATAATCCCTAAGAAACAGCTAAAATTACAACTTTTGCTAGGGTTCTAAGTTCAGTATAGTTTTCCAACCTGCTTCCTTGATCTTCCATCTAAGAACAAGTCGTCTGGCGCTGCATTCCCATGGAGGCGCGGAGGGCTGCTGAGGTTTCATTGCTGCAGCGGTGCCTCTGGACACAACACGGTGTTGAATCTGAAGCTCCTGGAAGGAACCCCCCTAATGGCTGGCGTGAACCCTTCGCGAAGACTGCAATTTTGTGCGAAGTAGACAAGACTGAAACTGTCCACCAGCTGGGGCACAACTTTCCTAAGAGTTCCCCACCTGATGCCTGTACGTGGAAATAATCAGGAAAGGCTCATGCGGAATTCAACCCGGGCGTTTCCTGTAGCCTGCGACGTGCTCCACACAGGAAGTGGATCCGAACGGCAGCGACATTGCATCCAGGAGCATCGGATCCAAGAGAAGTCACAGTGCTAGTGAGATTTGGGCTAGGCACAACGCCTGAAATGGCAGACTACATACTGCACAGTACAGTCGAGGGTCGAGGGCACAGTGTCCATTGGTCAGCTCACCAAAGTTCCCATGAATGTGCGGACTGTATAGGGTCTCTGACATTTCCCTTACTTAAGCCGTCTTGAGCCTTTCCGAGGGCCGTACCCCGCTTCGCAGCACGGGTTGGCACGAGGGAAGTGTGGCGCGAAAGCAACATCGTAGTCCACCGGCGTATGCTGGAGGCCGCCTAGCGCTGGTGAGGCTCCAGAGCCGGAAGCGGGCCGTGTGAACCTCTCTTTCTCCAGTCCTCGTGCCGTGATACGGTTGATGATATAACTCCTGCATTACCCATAATAAGGGATATGATACCATAATTCCCATAGTTTAGGGTCCTTAAGGTAATGCAGCATTTATATCATCCACCGTACCTCGCCTGCCGAAGCACCGTCACACCCGAGCCAGATCGCAGGAACGGCCAAGCGCCTGTGGGCCTGGCCGTCCTTCCGTCGGGGCAGCTGACGGTGAGGCCCGTGATATCTGAAAGGCAACGGGTGTTTTAACTACTTCGAGCCTTGGAGGGTTTATTATTGTTGATGAAGCCGAAGCCGGGCCACAAAGTTATTAAACGGGCATGCTTACGATTTCCTGCCTAGCAAGGTTAGATGCGAGTTCACCCGTGCACGGCGTGTTCAAGTTGCGATCCCAAGTCGAAACCCCTATATTTTTGCCTGCACACGGCTGCAAGCGTTTCTGTCGACCCCATTTTGTGCAATTGTTCATGGCTTGCTGTCCTGTTGGCAGGATGCCTGCAGAGCCGCCTTTGTACCAAAGTGTTGAGGAGACGGACTCTTGGCCTCGACGTAGG